AGCAGGATTTATGATGCTGGTTTCGACTTGGTCGCCTGGCTGAGGCCATCTTCGTCAGGCTCTCCGCACGGCTCCCTTTCTCCTGCTCTGCACGGCGTCCTCTTGGGAGGAGGCCGAAGGAGCGGGGTCACCCACCTCGGTGTCCGTCCCCGTGACTGTGCACGAGGCAGTGGTTTCTTGGAAATGACACCAACAGCACAGACACCAAAAGGAGAAACAGATGAATTGGACATCGTCAAAACTAACAACTTCTGTGCTTCAGAGGACACCGTCTGGAAAGCAAAGAGCGCGCAGAGCGAGGGGGATTTTTACCATCCGCACATCTGTTAAGGGCTATGTATTTAACATATGTAAGAAACTCTTACAGCTCTGCACAGAGACAGCCCAGGTAAACCGGGCGAAGGGCATGAGCAGACACGTCTTCAGGGGAGATGCGCAGACAGCGGTGCGCACGAGACGACGTGGCGTTGGTTGTCAGGGAGGTGCGAGTCCATACCACGGGGATGCACCGCTTTACACCCGGGGGGATGGCTGCGGTTAGTACGAGGAGCAGTGACAAGTGCTGGCAGAGACGTGGGACAGTCAGCCCCTCCCTGCTGCGTCACCGCCAGACAGAGCAGCGTGGCCGCTGCGGAGGACAGACAGTCCCTCGCCCAGCTGCGTGTGAGTGGCTCCGTGCCAGCGCACAGCCCCACCGTCTTGGTGCTGCAGGCCGCAAGGCCATGCGAGGCGCCAGCGGTCGGCTTCGTCCGGCCTCATCCTGGCCGCGCCCGGTCAGGCGGCCGCGCCCGTCGGCTAGACTCAGTGGCCGGTGTGCTTTCTGACCAGGAGGAGTGGTGGCTGGTTCTCTCTGTCTGACGTACCGTCGTCTCCTGGGTGCCTGGGCCCGTGCATCCGGGCCTCGCAGGGCGGGGACGTGCTGACTCTGTTCAGTTGGTCAGCAGGACTGCGTTTATCAAGCCGCTCTTCACCTCCCTTGCTGTTGGGAGCACCGTTCCTACAGGAAAGAGAATAAATGCTGAATGTTTTCTCTTTTGCTTTCCCAGTTTTCAAATTTGGAGGTTTTTAATTTGTTCCCAACTTATTATTGGTCCCTCGTGACCCTCGGGAGGGGAGCGGTGTTTACTGTCATCCATGGGCACGTGTGTCTAAACACAGGTGATGCTTTCGGTCTGTCGTTAAGTCACGTCGTGATTGAACTCAGCGGTCTCGTCTTCTGATGTCCTCACACGGGCCCCTCTGTCCTTCTGGCCCCAGTAGTCATCGACGGGAGTCACGACGCCCCACCTCACCCGAGCTTTTCCTGCCCCTGACTGGAGTCAGCCGTGCCTCTGAGGAGTCCTGGTCGCTCTTAATGGGGGATGGCGTCTCAAGGCCCACAGTGGGGGCACTGGGACGCTCTTTGTTGCTGGGTCACTCACTGTCTCAGGCGAGACACCCCATGAGCTCATACTGCTGCTTCCAGTTCGCGTCCGGCTGTGAGGACCAGAGCCTCTTTTCTCCTGTGTCCCACCCTTCGCACCGGCCCCTGCGCCGAGACATAGCTGGTCCACGGGAATGACGCAGACTGTGTCTGCTGCCTTTGTCTCTCCCAGGGCTGAACATGGAGCTGGAAGACGTCGCCAAGCTGAAGAGTAAGTGCCGTCCGCCCGCCCTGCTGTGGCTGCGGGGGGCTGTCCCTGACCGCCCCTCGCCCCGCAGTGATCCTGCTTCGTCTGGAGGGGGCCATTGATGCTGTCGAGCTGCCTGGAGACGACAGAGGTGTCACCAAGCCGGGGAGGTGAGGGACCGGGAGGTGGCCCCTTGCCCCCAGGCCTTGGGTGGTGAGTGGTGGGGCTCGGTCCTGGCAGCGTTCCTCCAGCCTGGGTTGCCGAGTGGGTGTCGCAGGCTTTATGTGCCAGCGAGGTCTGTTCTGGTTCTGGAGGCCCAAGAGGGCCACCGACCGCATGCAGGGAGGACCGTACGCACGAGCTCCTGGCCCTGCGGGCCCGAGTCTCCTGCTCTGCGTCCGTGCCTCTGGTGCTCAGCCACCTTGCAGGTGCCTTTTAGAACGAGAAAGACACCTGCTTCCAAGCATGCTTTCTGTTGGGACGAGAGCGCAATCACCCTGTGGCTTCTAGTGGGCCCAGAGTGTTCTGAACGGTCCCCAGGCGCTGGCCTTCTCAGCAGCCCAGGGCAATGGGGTGCATTTCCCATAGGCAGGTGCTGGGTAGTGGTCTGGGGCTGCTTGTACCTCCTTGCTACAAGCTGCTGGCAGCGCTGGGATCCAGGCCCAGGTTGTCGAGGGTTGGAATGTTCTGAAATGTTCTGGAGTGCCGGGCTGCCTGCTTGCTCTACTGTGCTCAGACCCTCGCAGGGCCCCTTGTTGCCTCCCAGGTGAACCGAGCCCCTCAGCCTGCCCTGCCCCGCCACAGCGCCCAGGCCTGGCTTCCCTCCAGAGCTGCTCTCTGGGGGCGCTGCCCAGAGCCACCACCTCAGGGAGGCCCTCATGAGCAGGTGTTGGCACCTCATTTGGGACCCGAGCCCTGGGACGCCATGGTCTCCCTCCCCACCAGGGCTCCTGAGGGTAGAGGCCTGTCGCTTCCGTGGGCTCAGAGCTTGTTTCTGAGTGAGGAGAACTCGGGAAGCCGTTGGCTGTGGGGCTCCCTGAGCGCGGCTGGGCTCTGTGGGGCCTGAGCCTCCTCTCTCCCCACAGCTTCATCTTTGAGCTGTTTGCCGAGGCCCAGATCACGTCTCAGACCAAGGCCTGCATCCTGGACTCTCTGGACCAGATCATCCAGCATCTGGCAGGACGTGAGTCCCCGCCCCGTCTGCGCCCGCCTGGCACTCCTCTGCCCTTGGCTTGAGGTCGCAGGCTGCTGCCTGCGCTGAGTGGGGCTTGAGCTCCCTTCCTGTCAGCACTGGTGCCATGTGAGCGCCATGCTCTGTGCAGCATGGCCTGGCGTCCCCGTCCCCAGTCAGCTCTCTTGAGGAGCGGGAGGGGCCCGGGCCGGTCACTGAGCTGTTCACTGCTGGGCTCGGGTGGTGGGAGGCAGTGGCGGGGCAGCCCCACCTTACCAACCTTGGCCTGCTGGGCTTCCGGAGACGTGCAGGGAAGGGCCAGCCCGCTGCCCATGAGGGTGTGCCCCGTGGCCACACAGGCGAGGTCGAGCTTGGCGCCATCCGGCTGGCTCGTGGCTCCTGGTCAGACGGGGG